CCCAGGATTTAGAGAAGCTATAGAGTTTTCATGTTTACCTGAAAGTGTACTCCGGTCACATTAAAGGAATACATGCCTTTGGGATCTAACACCATCGACTAGGATGGCTGGTGACATCCATTTAGTTCATTGTCGATATTGTTGTTATTAGATGCTAGCTGTCATTGTGTCAGTTCCGACTTACAGCCGCCCTATGTAACACTTCCTGGTCCTACATATCTTCATGATGGTCCTTATGTTTGAGCCCATTGTTACAGCCCCTGTGTCAACCCTTCTTGTCCAGGACCTTCCTCTTTTTTACTGCCCATTCACATCACCATGCATAATGTCCTTCTGTAGGCACTGGTCTCTCCAAATAACATGTCTAACGTATGCAAGACAATGTCTCCCTATCTTTGCTTCAAAGGAGCATTCTGACTGTACTTCTTCCAAGACAGATTTATTTGTCTTTTGGCTGACAATGGTACTTTCAATATTCTTTTCCAGCACCATAATTCAGGGGCATGAATTCTTGTTTGGTCTTCTTTATTCAATATCCAATTTGGACTACCAATTTTAAGGCAATTGAAAGGTGATCTCGGGTCAAGCTCACCTTAGTCCTCAAAGTAACATCCTTGCTTTTCAATACTCTAAAGAGGTCTTCCCCAGCAGATTTCCCCAATGCAGTATATCATTTCATCTCTTGACTGCTGTTTCCAGTAGCATTGCTTGTAGATCCAAGCAAGAAGAAACCCTTGACAAAGTCAAGCTTTACTCCATTTATCATGAGATTGGTCCATTTATGAAGATTTTTGTTTTCTTTACATTGAGTTGTAATCCACACTGGAGCCTGTTATCCTTGATGGCCATCCCCAAGTACTGCACGTCCTCCTCACTTGTGGTAAGGTAGCTTAAATCTGAAGCCCACATTCTTACTCACTGTGCTACACTGTCTTCTTAAAATGTATTTTGTGTGTGTGTGCTACTTAAATGGAGGAATCACTGTAAGTCATAGACTTTTAAAAGAACCATCTTGGCATAAATAGAATGTTCCTTAACAGCATCTCTCAATAATATTCTTCAATAAAACAAGCAAACGCAGAGGAAAACATACATCAAATTATAACGGAATGAAAAAGCAAGGTCCTCCTTGTCTACACATCTTCCTAGTTTCCCTTGCTAGCTTTTCCTGCTTCTTCTCCCGTGAGATTTCTATATCCTTTAGATCACTCCAACCCATACGGATACAGAGGAAGCACATTTTCCAGTGCCTACTACATGCGACTGGCATCTATGTGACTACACTCTTCTTAGCAATGAGGGGAAAAAAGCGAGAGCAATCTGATGGTTCAGTAGAAATCATATAGCTGCTCAATCACAGAGCGGGTTTGGGACTTCACAATCTCATGTCACACACTCCCTAAGGAAGGAAGATGGCATGGGTTTGAAGAAAAAAAAAAGCAAGTGTAAATTCACGTATCAATATTATATATAGTTATATACTTTATACATGCATAAAAATAAGTATAGATGCATGTACATACATATATGGTAGCAGAGAAAAGATGAGCATGCCTGGGTAATGACAGCGAAGTATAGACTGAAGAGAAAGAGCAAGACAATGGACCGGCGCATTGTGTGTTACGGATGACAACATCAACAAGATTGACTTTAAAAACAGTGGCTAGGAGAAATTTAGGATGAATACAAAGGGGTAGCTGAAAGGAAGGGACTTTCAAAATCACCATCACTTCTCTAATATTGCTCTTGTGTTTGGTCCTGTGGCAGCCCAGGTTATTGAGCTCTTACCTGTAGATATAGCCTATCGCATGGTGTGTAAGTTACCTTATGGCTTCTTTACCATTGAACTC